TTTCTGTAAAATACGGTTATATTTTATCATTTTGGGGGGGGCTTCAGGCCGAAAGCCCCCTCCTCCCCAGATCCGCCTGTGGCCAGAGTGATGTATAAATAATCATCTTATTTCTCATTCATATAATGAACCATTCCAATCCAACACGGACCACGAAATAACTGAGGTTTCTTCTAGATCTATCTGCGTTCTGATAAATTTGCATTCTCTGCTTGAGTATCTACCAAAATACTTTCGGAAACGTTCTTAACAATTGCGATTTTTTTTTTCATATTTCTTGATTCTGCTGTTCTTGGATTATGTCAGCTACAAATTGTCGATCAATCGTGTTTCTACCAACAGGGGTGCCCATCCTCCCAACGCCGATGGCGCAAGAATCTATCCCTTCTCCTCCCAAGATATTTTATTATTCAGCTTTTCTTAAAAACAAAGTAAGCTAAGATAGAATTAGAAAACATAGTTGATCAATTATCCTTGCTACTGTACTTATCTTCGAAATTTGCCTTCCCCTCAGAAATTCAAAAACCCATCAAAATATGCCCCCCTCAAAAATTTTGAAAGCCGCTTCTGGGCACCTCTGCTCCCTATTCTATTTGTTCCAGACAAGTAGAGTAATTTGCTTGTGATAATTATTGTAGGTTTATTTGATATATTTTACGAAACCATACTGAATTTCAATTAGAAGCTTTCGTAGGCGCTTGTTCTAAAGAAAATAGCTGAAGAGAAAGGTAAATCCGAAGTGCTAAGGATTAACGGGCTGCCTCATCCTTGGGGCTAGTGGAGCGGAAACTACCATGTCGGAAAACTCTTCCATCCGACTACTAGTCCTAGATCCCTAGATACATAGCGATATTAACTGTCACATTTATAAGTACCTTGTACTCGAACCAGGACTACATTTTTTTTTTTTTTTTTTTAAAGAAGGTCGAATTATTTAATTTTGAAATAATTGTGTTACATAATTTTAAATTTATATTGGATTTAGTTTTTACACTGATGATAGTAAATTCATGCAAAAATTGTATAATATATTTTTCGAAAACTAAATTCAGGAATGTTGCTAGTCCAAGAGCTAAGTCAACATTTCGTAAAATATTTGAAGAAACTTGAAGAGGAGGATGGTTGGGGTTTTCAGTGAAATTTAAATGGTAAAAAATAAATAATTTTATTTATTTTTACATTCGCCGACGTTTCGGCCCGAAGTTCAGGCCTTCATCAGTGCTGTTGTACAAGAAGTGAAGTCAGACAAATGCACTTATAGCCCTCCCACTATAAGTGCGTTTGTCTGACTTTACTTCTTTTACAGTAGCTCTTATGAAGACCTGAATTATAGGATACCAGAATAACCATAGAGAGAACTGAAACAAACATAGACCTTTATAAAACAAAACTAGGTTCTAAAGTCGTTGTACGAAACTTACAACTTACGTTAGGTTCATTTGTTGTATCCACGACAGAGATAAGAAAACTATTAATTTTAATAAAAAATTATTGAAGGTGATTTTCGAATAGAAATAATTAAATTGTAAAAAAGTTAATTGGATTAAATAAAAACTTTCTAATTCTTACAGCACGGATATATATATATATATATATATATATATTATTTTTATAGGGTGAAAGTACTTTCCTAAAGACTTAATATACATCTAAAAAGAAAATACTATTCATAAAATTCCTAAATAACCCCATAAAGTAATACATTATCTATATTAAGGTATGGTTGCCTATAAATCAGTAAGAAATGTTAGCAACTAAACGAAACAACAGTTGAAAATTAACGGATAGTATAAATCTCGCTCTATCTCTCTATCTCTATCTCTCTATCTCTATCTCTCTATCTCTCTCTCTCTCTCTCTCTCTCTCTCTCTATATATATATATATATTGTACTGCCTATAATATATTCTATATTGCCAATAATTTGTAATGTAGTATCCAATCCATTTTCAATAGAATTACTTTCTTTATACTACACGATAAGGAATGAGCTGAAGGTACAATTATTACAGTACAATAATCTTGAATGAAATGTAAATAATAATGTCATATAAATTGTTAAGTATAATTTTTGAAAAAAAAAGAGACAATTAAAAACCGTAATAAATGGGGTTATTTATGATTACATTTAGAATTTAAAGATAATTGAAGGCTACTTATTTTGCACTAAATCATACATAATACAATATTTAGTAGAGATGTTGGTAAAATTGATTATTCCATATATCGATATTAAAATTTGTCTATCGAAACCTATATTTGTATAACAAAAAACATAATAAGATCAGCTTTTACTTATACAAAACGGAACTTACATGAACCGACACAATTCAAGATACATCATGGATTATAAGTAATCCACGATAATATGTGATGATTATAATTAATTAAAATAATTAATACAATACCTTCATTGAGCAAATAAAGGAAGTTAAATCATGATAAGAAAACTCACCTGTAAAAGAAAAAGAAATAATCTTAATTAGGTTTTAATAAATATATAACTATGAACTTAGGTTTTAATAAATAAATAACTATGAACTTAATGTAGAAATTTAAACTAGAAAAACTATTATGCGATACCACATCAATAAAATAGAAGACATTTGCAATAGATCACTGTAAAATGCTTTTTAAAAAAAAAATAATAGATTCCTAACGCTTTTACAGTTTTTAGCGGTTCATGACTAAGCATAACAACTCAACACGAACTCATCAACCATCCATAGGGTTATCGATCTAAGTTACAAACGAATTCCTAGAAAGTTAAAAAGAGCTGTGACGAACGGAAAAGGTCTAAATGGTGCACCGAAACATAGGTAGGATGATGGCGTTATGATCATGCGGAGTTAGATCTGGATGGTGGGTGGTATGTAAACAGCAATTGGTGGTACCGGCATTGAACCTAAGTGTTTGCAAAGCCTTTCATTTATACAAATTCCTAATTCTCAAATAATTGAACATATGGAGTTGAAGTTTTCCAAGGTCACCTAAGAATTTCGCAATGATCAGGAAGCGACCGATGATTTATGAGCTGCGAATTGAGCCAATATCCTCCGAGTTCAGTCCTTGACATTTCTAAGGCCCATTTTAGTTTTCAACAACCATGGCGGACACAGCGCCAGAGTCAGCTTCAACAAAACAAAACGGCGCATAGTAGTTGAAAAGCGACACATTTTTAAAAAGCCCTGAAAATACCGATTTGTAGGCACTCTTAATTGTAATTCTTAACAAATTTTAGTTTTTCTGTAAAACACTGGAATAACAGTCTGAGATTTCATTTTATTCACAGTTCAAGTCTCGATCTCGACTAGGCATGAGCGGGGATAATATTTTGTTTTGAAAAATACTTACTGTTAAAGTAATAAGTGAATCATTAAAAAATTCATTCTTAGTCCATTCTTTAAAAAATAATAAATTGTTTATAAAGAAAATAAAAGCAATATCATGATTTCGCAAGCAGATGGAAGGTAGAGAATTTATTCCGTGCTACCAAATACCAAAAACTCATTTGATGAAATTATTTTTTAACAACTAATTATTTTAAAATTAGAATTAATTAAATATGTTAATTTAATATTAATTAAGAGTTCCTGATATTTAATTCGAAATAAATAGAATCTGAAGAAACATTTTTAAAAAAATTTAATTGTTGTATTATTTCTATTTTGTTAACATCAAATTTAATCTCAGGAAAAAATTCTATACAATAAAATACAAATACATACTAATTTATATATCATATAATAGAAATACGAAGGACTTTTGGTTATTGAGGCTAATAAATAAAACCTAATCAATTCCTTTTATATTTTTAATAACTAATTGATATTTTGAGGACACAATGTCGAATTTAAAATATAACAAACATATACATTAATTTATATCTTACATGACAATATACTTAAAACGATATACTTTTTATTCTAGGGTCAATAATCTTTTCATTTCAAATAGATGCTCGTACAAAAATAACTAATAAGTTTAATTCAATTTACAAAATTTAATTACGCCTAAATAACAGAAGTAGCTGTAATCTGTTTTAATATCTTATTAGGATTAAAGTCCAAATAAAAAAGTATATGTTAGACCTGCGGTCAGTCGCGGTCAAAAGGTTTAGACCAACAATTTTTTTTGTTTTCTATTTATTTTAGTACTTTTTCAAAATAGTATTGTGGAGTTTAAAATACGAATAAGTAATTTATTTTTTCACGCAGTGTTTCCTTTGGAATGTCAGTTTATGATCATAAAGGAAAATCGCAACATAAATACAAAATGAGAGTGGCAATAATGATAACAATGTCGAACAATTTTCGTTGTGATTTTAAATAACAGTAAATAATAAAATTTCTAATTCCATCTCTATTAGATATTTTGAATTAATTAAATCCACTTTAAGAAACAATAATTTAGTCGCACACTATCGATTTTACTTTAAGTTATTGGTTCTTTATTGTTAACATATTATCCATTTTTTTAACGCTTATGACTTAATTTCCGTATACAAACAGAACTGTAATAGTGGCATTATAAAGTAATAATACACTCTGTTTTTAGGCAATGATACCTTCCAAATATAATTGATTTATTTGTTGAATTTACATGTTTACATGTTACCGTTTCGGAAAATTTACTCCCATCTTCAGAACTTAAAATCTCAAGTTTTCTTGTCGATTCATGGCTAAAAAGGAGTTGGTTAAAAATAATGTATGTCACAATACATGTTAGAGTTGCGTTGTTACATTATAACATGCATTATTTTTAACCAACTCCTTTTTAGCCATGAATCGACAAGAAAACAGGATTGTAAGTTCTGAAGATGGGGGTAAATTTCTCGAAACGTTAACATGTAAATTCAACAAATAAATCAACTGTTGTATATTTGAAAGTTATCATAGTCAAAAAACAGAGAATATCATACAGCTTCCCAACAAAAAGAAGAAACAGAAGTAATAATACACATTCCTGCAGATCATACATAGGTACATACCCAAATTTATCATGTATACATACCTTTCTACTTCTCTGATACATAGAAATCCAGATCCGGGTAAGTAATGCCTAGTAACACTTCTATTTTTTTTCTATTTTCATAACAAAACTATAAACGAAAAACTAAAGGGTGTTTAGAACAAACCCGTTAGAAAAAATACGCAATAATTTCAGTGACTTGCGACACGCCATTTTCCCGACACTAAGCGCGGGAACCTTGAGCCAAGGATGGGAAGAGCCGACGGAAGACAATGGACAGGAGTTGCTGAGACAGGAGACAATTAGAGGGAGCGGATTGGCTTCGGATGAGGCTGGGTTCAATGGACTCCTCCGGATGACCGTAAGACAATTTTGTCACGGTAGAAAACTCAGCGTTTCTGGCAAAGGGCGTTCTACTTCCAAGTCACAGATTTCCCTAGCGAAGGGTTTAAATCAACCCAAGTCATCGCAGCGGAATAGTTCTACTTCTTTTTTGTCCTCTTTCACTTCCATAAAATAATAAGTGTAATGTGTCCAATTTAGTGCGCAATGCTGCCCATCAACCTCAATTTGGCTTCTTCCACATCATGTCTCGACAACAATTAGTGAAGGGAAGTCAGGAACGGACACAGAAATTATCTTTAGGTGGTAGCATCTTCATAAGGCTCTATTGTGATATAATTAGTAAGGCCAATGAGAACAGCGATTCCATTGTGTTAGGCGAAATTCACGGTTAACAATATGAAATTATACAATTAGTTATCAAACTGTTTTTCCGAATGAAACTGTCTTTGGCATTCTTTCGTGGCATACCATTCAGGAGTAATGATTTTCAAAGCATAAAATAAGTATTTGTTTCTTTAAATAACAAATCTTGCTTTGTTTTGGATAAAAATTCCATCCATGAAACATAAAATTAAGCTTATTTCATCCCCATACCAGACTGAAACGACAAGAAACCGCTCGACGTTTTCAACTAGTTCAGCACTTACTAGACAAACGCTCTAAACATACTATAATAAGACTTCTTCGGGCTTACGGGATCGGCCTTTGTGGCTCTACTAAACTATCGAATTCATCTAGTTTCCAATCCCTACAATCCAAAATCCTTCGTAAAATCCTCAATGCTCTCTACTTTGTCACAAATAAAGTCATCCATAACGACCTCAATGTACCATATGTTTCCGATTTAGCTCAATCCAAGAACCTATCTTTCCATATTAAACTTCAGAACCATCCTAACCCTCTTGTTTCTAATATTGTTTTCTCTTCTATTACTGATAAACCTCCGAGGCGCATGAAAAGAAAATGCCCTAGGGACCTTCTAATATAGAACTTTAATTGAAGTTCTACCAATGGATAGTTTCTCTTCATGTTATACATGTCATGTTACCAATTTCAAATTCACTTGTATTTTTCATGTAAAACAGTTGTAAATTTCAAGAAAAAAAAACTTATTTAAAAAATTTGTGAAAATCTTTTTCTTTCTATTATTAGGTTTTCCTGACTATTTGTTTTTTTAATTACTTAAATAAAACTATTATTAACGAATATTACAGATACATTATACACCTTTCAATTCACTTATGCACTAATGATCAGGGAAAAAATAAACAATATTAATGATTAATAAAAATCACCAAATAAGTTTTTAAAAAACCCAAATGTATATCAACTTACTAAATTAATTGTACATAAAATTTGTTTTAAATGATAAATTAAATATAATTTTGTCTATTAGTATAGAAAAAAAAATCTTAATTACGTATTTTCCTTCTACTTGAATCGTAAGATGATTTGAGCCTAAAGTCGAGAAAAAATGTGGCCTTCAAAAATTTTGAGGCATTTGGCGTGACTTACACCCCAAAATTGTCAAAATAACAAGGTTGTATACGCCAAACAGTCCATTATTATTGTAGGCCACCTTTTTTCTCGATTTTTTATCAAATTATCTTACGATCCATGTGGAAACGAAATGGATATTTATGAGTTTTTAGTACCTAATTAAATGGACAAAGTTTGCCGACCTCCAGATTGAAAACGCCCCAATTCAGAAAATTTTCGTAAATAAAATATTTGTGGATTACGATGTGATGAAACTATTTACGACGGTTCGGGCGGATACTAATAATTTGGCAAAAAGAGTTCTGCATCACGGACTATAAATATATAAAGGAGTAGCAGAGTCATCTATGTTTCACATAGCACAAGTAGGTATCCTGAGTGAATATGCATATTTTTTCAATAGCATTTTTTTTTTACAGCCTACAGATAGAATGTCAGAGGAGACAACCGCCATTCTTCTCCTCTCCGTCAAATATAGGAGAACAGACTTGTCTTGATACCCAGTTCCAGTGCAAGATTCATTAAATAAATGAATTAACTTAATTAGACATTTTCCATAAGATATTGAGAATCTTTTGAGTTTTGAATAAATCCATTAAATGTTCCATTTAAACAATGGTTGAGAATTATGTAAGGACGTGAGCTTAGGTTAGATAACAATGTCGTTCTATTAGCCTTTCTCACCTTGTGGCTTACAGCTAGGACAGGTACGCAGTAAGCAATTTAGAAGCTTTTACGAAGTTTTTTATAAAAAAAAAGAAAACACTAAAAAAATTATTGAACAACATAATATTTGAAAAAAAAAATAATGTAAAATTAATGTTGACTTCGTAGAGAAGTATAAGTCCAGATTAATTAAAAATTAATTTTCATGCCAGAATAACTACATTATTTATCGTTTAAGCACCAAGTATAAAAATGACCACTTCTTGCTAGTTATTACTTGGTCGAACTATTGAATTTCTTTTGTATTTCGTTTATGGATTCCTAATCATTAATCATTAAAAAAATTATTGAACAACATAATATTTGAAAAAAAATAATGTAAAATTAATGTTGACTTCGTAGAGAAGAATAAGTCCAGAATAATTAAAAATTAATTTTCATGCCAGAATAACTACATTATTCATCGTTTATCATCAGATATAAAAATGACCACTTCTTGCCGGTTATTACTTGGTCGAACTTTTGAATTTCTTTTGTATTTCGTTTATGGATTCCTAATCATTAATCATTAAAAAAATTATTGAACAACATAATATTTGAAAAAAAAATAATGTAAAATTAATGTTGACTTCGTAGAGAAGTATAAGTCCAGATTAATTAAAAATTAATTTTCATACCAGACTAACTACATTATTTATCGTTTAAGCACCAAGTATAAAAATGACCACTTCTTGCTAGTTATTACTTGGTCAAACTTTTGAATTTCTTTTGTATTTTGTTTATGGATTCCTAATCATTAATCATTAAAAAAATTATTGAACAACATAATATTTGAAAAAAAATTAATGTAAAATTAATGTTGACTTCGTAGAGAAGTATAAGTCCAGATTAATTAAAAATTAATTTTCATACCAGACTAAGTACATTATTTATCGTTTAAGCACCAAGTATAAAAATGACCACTTCTTGCTAGTTATTACTTGGTCAAACTTTTGAATTTCTTTTGTATTTTGTTTATGGATTCCTAATCATTAATCATTAAAAAAATTATTGAACAACATAATATTTGAAAAAAAAATAATGTAAAATTAATGTTGACTTCGTAGAGAAGTATAAGTCCAGATTAATTAAAAATTAATTTTCATACCAGACTAACTACATTATTTATCGTTTAAGCACCAAGTATAAAAATGACCACTTCTTGCTAGTTATTACTTGGTCGAACTTTTGAATTTCTTTTGTATTTCGTTTATGGATTCCTAAAAAAAATTTCACACTCTGTTATAAATTATTAATAAATTGATAAACATAAATATTTGTGTTTTTATCTTTCCTTACTTCCCAAACTAATCCTATGAGGTAGATGTTTATTGATGTACCTGATCAAGGCATGAAGTGAGCAATGAAAAAATGTTATTTTTTGTTAAACATTTTCGAGACAACTGTAAAATTAACAATAATTTTATATATTTTTCTTTCTGTTCATTTTTCCTAAATGCATATATTTGAATAAATTTATGTGTATCGAAAATAATATGACATAGATCGTTAGACAAGTTAATTAAGTGTAATAAGAAATTCTTTTTGTAATTGTTGAATGTTAACTAATAATGATATTACAACTTTCCAGACTTGAAAATAGCCTTTAGTATGGTCGAAACGTCGAATTTAATAGCGTATCAATAAAATGTTTGGTAATAATTGGCCTAATTTATATAAAAATAAAATAATTTTATATTATTTCCCAAAGTTTTTTTTTTTTGTCAGTATGCCATATCCACCTTAATACTTCTTCAAAACCATTGATTCAGCCATTATTATGAAATTTATCTTCTCCACTAATACCAAAAAAATAAACGTAAAAAATAACGAATTTCTAGGATAAGGATGTCATTCATCAACAGTTTCAAAACACTTTTCTGTTAGTATATATAATTGAGTTTCAAAGAGAGCTACTGAGTTAATCTTTAATTATTAAAATCTATTATCACTCTTAAAGTTGATAAACTGGAGTAGATTTATTTAAGATTTATTAACAAATGTTTTTTCCAATCCGGAAACACTTTTTAAATATATTACGTCTTTGCTTATGAATGTACCATAAAATAGTTTTTAAATAATTCCAGAATGACTATTCGGTGCATTATATATATTTGTTCAGTCAAGCTTAAAAATTAAAAATTTTGATTTTTGTCAATGTCATACTTATTTTGTTTTTCTCCATAACCTACATATATCTTTATACTTTATATCATCGGTTAATTGTAAAGAAATTAAGTGACATTTCAAAAATTTAAATCACTAAGAACTTTGATGTATTTGCCCATTGTAAAATCGGAAAATTGTATGAAAACTATATTTCACACATAAAAACATTTGTTATTTCAATAAGCTTACTGTGTTTTTATAGATAAATAAGATCAAAATCCATAATGATGGACTTAAAAGTTCAGTACCACTAAAAATCTACTTACTGATTTTTGCAATAAACCGACGATATGTTTTGTATTAATTTCTTATAATATTATTTTTTTGTAAATCTTCAGGTTTTCAATGATATATTATTTGCTTCTGAGCAGTTAATTTTTTTTTACTAATTAGTGCTCCCCGAATCTCCAATGTAAACTTCTGTATTATAGATGATTCATACACCAATTATCTCATTTACAGATTGCATTTCAAAGCATATCACAACTAGAAATATTAGTTTTAAATTCGCATAAACCATGGAGAACGGAATCAAAACTGAAGAATCAAAATAAATTTCAATAAATCCCATCAAATCACCTTTACCCTTCGCCGTACTTCCTGTCCTACAGTATCTTTCAACAATAACCCATTAATCGCTGTTGAACAAATCCGTTACCTAGGGACTCCACCTGGACAAACGTCTAACTTAGAATCCCCATACCACACTGGAACGACAAGAAACCGTTCGACGTTTCCGATTACTCCAGCACTTACTAGACAAACGTTGTAAGCTACCAACTAATAACAAAAGACTCATATGCATGACTGTAATAAGGCCTGTTTGGACTTATGGAGTTGAGCCTTGGGGCTCTACTAAACCATCGAATTCCTCTAGTATACAATCTTTACAATCGAAAATCCTTCGTAACATCCTTAATGCTCCTCACTTTGTTACAAATAAAATTATTCATAACGAACTGAATGTTCCATATGGCATCAAGGTATCACATAAATTATTTTCGTTAGCTTATGTTATTCTTTTCAACGAAGTGCTAAAAATATAAATCATGAATTAAAACATTATCGACATTTTAGGTTACAACGTCAATAGAAAGTTTAATAACGATAATAACAATCTAGTAAACAAAGAAACGTAATTATTTTGTAATTGGTTGATAACCTACAAACATGTTTACAGGATTGTTTACATAGTGAAAGAGTCATTGCCCTCTTATCGGCGGAACATAAGCATCATCATAACGTCATCTTAAGCCCAGTTTAACAAAAAAATAAATAAAGCAATCTTCCAAATCTTGAATGTTTATTTATACAAAAACAACATGTACCGAGTTTTAAAGAATATATATTTGCATGAAAGGAATACAGCCCACAAGTTGAATACAATGTGGCCCATCCCATCCCAATTTCACTAACGACATCTTCCGCGACGTAGGAAGATGACTCATTAAGCAATCAACTAATTAACAATGTTAATTCAAATGGTTTCCATTGCCTCATTGATATCAATCATTAAATTAAGTGTTACGAAGCTTGAGATAGATTTATTTTTCTTAATTAATTTATTATAAGCCATCCTATATCAAAGAAATAAAACCTTTTTAATATCTTATCGTAATTATTTTAAACTAAAACTAAACTATTTCGGGGCAACTATTAAATTAGATAATATTTTTACAAAAAAAGAAGTGAACCTCACGCTATTCTATTAAAAAATCACATATTAACTAACATGAACAAGAAGCAAATTAAACAAGGATATTTTTCTAAAAGATGGGTTTCAGTAATCAAGTTTGAAAGTGTTAAGAAAAAATCGCGAATGACTTATAGTTCTATGAATAACTGAACTTGGCGTAGTTTAATCGCTCACAAGTTCCCTTTAAATAGTTTTAAAAAAGACAAACTCTATTTTAATATGAAGGAAATTTTGCCTAGTTTATGATGACGCAATTATTAATCACCTTAATTAAAAATGTGCATAGATATCGCTTCTTATTAAAAATAAACAAGTGAGCTTAAAAAAAATCCTGTAAAATCAGACTACGGTATAAATAAACTTTTTTGTAGGTTTTAAGGTATACTATAACGTATTTAAATATATCAGTTATATGAAATTAATGTCTATTTAAACATCAATATCAAAAACTTCTTCATTGTTGATATTGAATACTATTATTTTAATTGAATTTTTAGAATCATGAGAACAAAAAAGTTTTAGTTACAATTGGAACGAACGAAAATATTGAAAAAACAAATCCATCCTCGAAAAGGTATAATCTAAAAATGAAGAAAGCCAATTTAATGGTGTTTGAAGCAATTTTTTACTGAAGGTGGAAATTTTATAAATGTAATCACCGTAAACAATAAAGTTTTTTTTTCAATTCTTTATTGAGACATATTACAATCTGTCACATCTAAGGACAATAGTAATAGTGATAAAGAGTAGCTCATTCACACTATGTACAATAAATAAAAATAAATAAATAAAAAATGAAGTTAACAATGAAACGTAGAAAATAAGTTTTATAGAGATTTTGATGTTTTTTTTTTTTAAATTTCTTTGTATTTGTCCTCCCCTTCCAAAGAAATGGCAACAAAGGCAAGCCTTTTAAGCGTTACAGTT